ATGGACCGATATCACGCAGCGCCATCTTGGATGGTGTGGCACACCACATCGAGCCTGGAGCTCGTTTCTCGAAAGTCCCGGTGACTAAACTGGCCCAAAGCCGTATTAGAATAGTCGTATAAGAAAAGAAAATTAAGATTTTGATTTTAAAACACGGCTTCAGGACCGTTTACTCACTGGGACCTTCGAGAAACGGGCCCCTTGACGGTTTGATGTGGCGCACAAGCCAAGCCAAGATGGCGCTGCGTGATTTTTATCAACTACTCACTAAAGTAGAGTTGACCAGTGGTTGATGTTTGCCGAGCCGCGAGGCCACACAACAGAGTTAGGACAACAAAATTTATTGTTAGGATCGCTTAAACTGGATGAGCAACCCCAAAAATGGAGAAATCAATAGAAATGGTTTTTATGTTATGAACCAACCAAGATGGAAACTCGTACGGAGTCGTTCGCTAATAAATTACTTTATTCCATTTGCTTTGCTTCCAGGACGACGTTGTGTTATCGTGACATTTGTTCTTTAAGCACTTTACAAGAAATGGAAGAAAATCCTCCACCTGATTTTCAACTGCCTTGCTTTTCTTCGTGGACAACATCACAATCTGTTCAAGCGAACATTCCCACAAGTGCTCCTCTGGCACCGAGGAATGGGCACGAGCAGCCTTACTGGTACCGGCCGCATTACATCGGGTGGCAATATGTCACAAGCGGTACGTTTTATATTGCGCACGAAGTTGAATATATTAAGAAGAAAAAGAGTTTATATTGTACACCCCACGCTATTATTATATTTGACAATACGCTCAGGAAGATTTGAAAAAAGAAACAAACAAACAAAAAAAAACCGGTCATTTCGTGTAACCATTTTTTTTTCTTCAAATTCGAATGCGGCAAAAATTTCCTTAATATACTTTTTATAAAATCTCTCCCTAATTCTTTTTATTGAGTGTTTTTCTCTTCTTTTCCTGTTTTTGCTTTTTTATTCCTTTTTCTCTTCTGAATAACTGTGAGACTGAAATAGTTTCAATTCACTTGAGGTGTTGCCATAATATGAAGCTAATAACTCAAAAGAAATCGCTCGCTTATTATTATAATTTTTTTTAACAAGCACAAACAGGCTCAAGTACCTGGCCTGAAAGGAATTTAGAAGGGTGGGGGGAGGGGGGGAAGGAGGGAGAGAGAGAGAGGTTATTTATATTGTGGTAGAACGAGTGCATCACAATCTGAACCAGTGCATCATAATCTGCTGTTTCTTAATTTTCGTTTTTCTGTTGCCTTTATTTATCTGCCTAGGTTCACAGGTGACTGAACAAGCGTCTTTTCATCAATCATCTTCAGCATATCATTTCACCCATCGCAGTTCTACGGGATGTCACACTACGGGATGTCACGCCTCGGAACGTCACGCTATCGGGTGTCAATTTACAAACTATTACTCCAAAGTCACTGAAAATGCCCAAGGTTTATCAAGCGGAGTAGCATACGACCATAGCGCATTTCCAAAGATCGTTTCAGTGCACTCTATGGGGGAAGAGAGTTACAATACCCTACAAAAAACTACGCTTCTCTGTGGAGAAGAAGGTGGTGACACACCAAATAACCATTTTTCTAAATCTTCTCTTGCAATTCCGGCAAGCTGTAACAACGATGCAGCAAGTTCTCGAAAGATAACTGATCATTCCATATCGACAATTCTTGACCTGCCTTCTGCGAGGAATTGCTCCTCTTTTCCTGTTCACAATGATGGCCTTATTGGTTCCCCTGCTGAATATGACTGTCCTAAGAACGAAACGAAAGTGAGCCTTCCATCTGACGAACACGATCAAGGAACAGAAGTAAGATACAGTATAGCTAAGGATGAAGAGATCAAGGTAAGCAGAGGTTCTGCTCTTTAAGCTCGTTCTACCACAATATAAATAACCTTAAAAGATTGCGTTCGTCTCAGAGAGCCTTAGGCTCTTGCAGTAAGGGGAAACTTGGATAATGAGTTTGAATTTGCACCATTAATTTCTCCCTACTTAAATGCCTGTGTTCAGGTCACAGAGAAGAGTGAACGATATGACCTCTTTGTTATGCCTGCGACTCTCCCTCTCCAAGTTGATCTTGGTAGAAGCCTTTGAGAAAAGACGTGTAAATGTATAAAAGACGTGAAAATGTATAAATGGGCAGTGTCCTCAGTTTTTTAAGAACTGTTTGACTTTCAATAAGCATTTATATAGCCGTGATACTCGCCAAAAAATTTAATCCATCTATCTTCGGTACGGACAGAAATTGCAAAACGATCGTTTTATTACTATGGATCCATAGTTTATAATTCATCAAAGTAGAGTAATTTTTATATACATAATTTTAAATTTAGAAATCTAAAGCCTTATAAATGTGTTTTATATCTTCATGTTTGTATTTCGCATGAAATTGTAATGTATTTTATTTAGTTTATACTCAGGGCTCCCATTGATAGCAGGTGGCTCTTTAGGGCTTCTGACGGGGCTACCCTGAGGTTTACTTTTGTTTTTAAATAAAGGCATCCATCCGTCGACGCGCGGAATTTGGAGTGACTATATTGTGCGCATTACCGATGCACACAAATAATGATAATAATAATAATAATAATAATAATAATAATAATAATAACAATAATAATAATAATAATATAATAGTAAGAATAGTGATAATAGTTATGATTTTAAAGAAATCGAGGGAACTCCCAACCAAGCTTCTTACCAAGGTCCGTGTGCGTTCTCTCTTTGATTAATGTAAGACCCTCTTACGACCGTGACGTTACCTTGTGAGAGATGCAAGTTAACGTATACGCCAAAGTCCTTAACCACGGACTAAGCCAACGATAACCACTAATAACCTGCACATAATTTCTACAGATAACGGAAGGTGAAATCAGCAGCCCAAATTTCGTCGAAGGATTGTCAAACCCAGCTCTTCAGAGGCAAAGTAGTAATTTAACACTTGAAGAGATAAAAGCTCTAGAGATCCCTAGCGAACCAACTCTACAGAAAAGCCCTTTGCGCATAACCTCGTCGAGGATCAAGGAAAATGCACTGAATTTGCATCGCCTTCGGGAAATCAACAAAGTTCAGAAACGCCTGAAACGCGAATTATCAGAACGCCAGGAAACTTGCTTTAGTAAGGAGAATGAAATGGGACGAAAAGGAATTAAAATATTCGCAGGCGGCTCTATGAAAGGTTCTGAAAACCCTTTAAATTCCCCGCCTGTCAAAAAGTCTCGTCAAGCACCAATTAAGGAAAAAGCAGAAAGTGAAGAAAGCATGGCCGACTTATTGTCAGATGAGAAGCGTTCAAAGTTAAATGCAGAGATTAAAGGACAAAAGTCTTTGGGAGAAACCCTCAGCTCCAAAAAGCTAAAAGAAGACGTGCCAAGAGATGATTTTAGGATGAATGTGTTCGAGAAATTGGCTCTGTTGAGTGAGAAAAGGAGGTGTGAAGATTCAACTTCGAGGAGCTCTTCGCTACACGATAGCGATTCGCAAAGTTCTGACAAAGTCAAGGTTAAAATAACTCACGAAAGAAGTAAAGATACAATCATCGAAAGGGAAGACGAACTCCATACTTTTCGATCTAATTCTAAACGGTCGGCAGCCTTGGGAAACGACGGGGAGTCAAATGAAAAGATCGACATTTTGGTTATGTCGGATAGAACGAGTCTGACAGACACTACAACCGCAAGAACCATCCCAAACAATTGGTCGTCTGCTTACATTTACGAAAATCTGGACAGCAAGAACAGTTTTTATTTGTCAAAGCGAAAGTATGGTGGAGAAGTGAGTGGTGAATTTATCAAGAGGCGCTGTAATTCTTTGCCGAGGAAAGTAGATTGGAAAGCCAATAACAGTTTGGAAGAAGAACTATCGCAAATCCAAGAGAGTGTAGGTGAGGAGTAAGAATACATACAATGGACATGTAATACAAGGTATACTTTAGCTGTTCAAATATAAAAGTTAGAAATGTAGCGGGTACAAGGCACGTCTTGCAAAGACAACCATCAATGGCACAAAAGTTTTCGAGAGAATCATCAGATACTTTGGTTGCGTCAAATACTAGAAAGCACTTGTGTCGCTCTATCTATCTAGTATCTCCTGCTTTAATGTAGTGTTTGGATATTTCAGAGCTCGTAATTTATAAAACCATTTTTTGACACGGATAAACACAATTTAGTTATATAAACTATAGATAACAGCCTCCACATATTTGGCTACGTTGTGACATCAGAAAACAATGTTTAGTGAACAGGCTCTCTCACGAGTCTTTTGGGCTGGTAGTTGAGGTGATGATGCCCCAATCTACACGAGATATTGCTATTTGGTTGCCATGTGATCAGAATTTATCAAAGTCACTAACCAGCATTTGTTGTTCCATCGTTCCTGTGTGTTTGTGTGCACCTTCTCGTTGATTTATAACATTAGCATCTCTTTAATGGTGTCCAAAACCCTCATCTATAAAGTGGCAGACAGAGCCTCTTTAATAGGCCCTCTTTTCCTCGGTAGATAAAGACGAAGAACAACTAAACATCCCACTCAAGACAGAAGTTTCGTGCAAAGGAGAAAACGTCGATCCTACACCATTTCTAGGGATTGTAAACAGAAATGGTAATGTAGGCAATCCCCGCCTGTTGTCCCGTCCCCTCTCTCATTCAACGATTGTAAGCGATCCAAGAGCATATAGGGTATACGATGATGATACACTTCAGAGGAACCTTGAGTTACGACAAAGCAAAATCAGCGACCTCCTGCGTAAACAAGAGGGACTGTTAGAAAAGCTGGGTTCAACGCCACTCCCGAGAAAGTAACTAATTCTCGTTCTTTTTGTTTGAACCCCTTCGTTCTTTCTGAGGTGTGCGTGACGGACGTGACATGTCACAGAACAACACGTCGCATCCCTGCTAAGTTGGTTGGATTTAATGCATTAATACGTTGTTGTTGCGCTAGTTGTGAACTGTGCTGGATGTTCGAAGCATCAAACATTACTAGTGTAGGCTGTTTTATTTATTAGATATAAAATTTGCTCCATGACATAACTCGAGTATGTCGTTTTCGCCGACCACTCGGTTGTCTTAAGCGCTGAAAATGGTGTTATCACCGTTCAAATTCAAGCATCATGCAAGAAGTTCTGTGTCCTCATGGTTATGCAGGCTTGTTAGATAACCTCCAATATGCTTCTCTGATGATTATGAAGATATAAATTTTGGTACCTTTTCAAAGTTGTCGACCCAGGCCATCGTGTTATCTTAAAGACCTATTCTGTTTACAAGGGCTGGAACCAAACCCTCATGCGTCCAGAGCGCTAATCGTGAGGCCACAGCATTATCAAGACGAGAAGGCATCATAACCAAGTCTTAAAACATCCATCTTCCATCCATAGTTTCTATTCTGTTTCCTCTATCAAATTTTACAATTCTATTCATGTTCAAGTTCTCTTTGAGTGTAATGTTCTTTTTAAATAAGTTTAAATCTTCACTTTCCTCTTATCGCAATTATATTGATAATAATTCTAATCGTTTGGTCTGGGTTGTATGGTATTATAGCTTCGATTGCCCTCTGAGAAAACAGGTGGACAAAACCGTTCAAAATAAAGATAAGACAACTGTGTCATTCCAAGTGAATTTCGGAAAATAAAGCAAATCGTGGCCCAATATTTCGTGCTTAACTGCTGCATTATGTACAATTTCTGCAAAGTCTAAACGTTTGTATCAACGTTGCATTATAAATTCGTGGCTCGCTCTGGCTTATGGAGTCACGTGATATTCCTACATGAAAAGGTCGAACATCATTGGGCATTCGACGGCCAACATCAACTTGTGTCAGATGACTCCTTGGATGATTAGTTTAAAAAAAAATAAGCTTAATTAATATCTTGTGTGCATATGCCGTATCTTTTCTTCTTTCGCTCTTCGACTATGACACAGCTGAAAAATAAAGAGGAAAAGCGAACTGACCTCCATGCCATTGAAAAAAGACAAGCAAACGAAAAAAATGCTCCTACCTTTCGCTTCTCTAAAAATTTCTGTATAAATTCTTCTGGCGTCATACTCTCTGTTAGGAATACAACAGTGGTTCAATTAGTATTTCATCACTTAGCTAGTTTTAAGCAAACAAAAAGCAAGATTTCTTGGCGATGTGACTTTCCAAGAAGTAAAACACACGTACTTACTCGAAAGAAACTCATCAGCGATGGCCTTGAGAAATTAAAAGAAGATCCAGTTAGTTCCACTGCGAATGAAAACTAAGCAATTTTTATAATGCACTTATTTTCATATAGCACGAAGCATATAGCAACAAACCGAAGGAATATTTAAGCTGCAATCCAAGATTTGTTTTTATTTGTTTTGTCTGCTTGATTTCCCCGTCTGTTTGTTTTCATCTCACCAAATTTCACAAAAGAAAAATGAAAGGCTGTATCTAGGGTACTTACATCCGATTCTTCTTCTGCCTGAGCTGCTGCTATTTCCAAGCGCGTTCTTATTTGGACCAGAGACAATACCTATCAAAATGTCCAGAAAAGAGTTTTGACATTTGACTTCAATGAATAGTTCTCGCTTGAAACGACACGATCTACACCGAAGCGACTATATCGTGAATCAAAGGACAGAGAACGCACCAGCTCTTGGATGTTCTATGCTAGAATGCGGTAGTTTTCTGAGCAATTGTTAATCGTGTATCGAAAATACTCAGGGATTAATTTGTTTTTGCTTTACTTCAACCTGCAATTGGTCCTGAAGACTCGCTCCATTTTCTCAACCAATCAGGTGCAAAACTGAAACAAATTATGACTTGGCCGCCCGCGTTTTACCGCGCTTTAGGCATTTTGGTCGGTTTGACCTTGAGTTCTCATTGGCGCAGGTATTTTTCTTTGTTCTGATTGGCTGTTGCGACTTTAGTTTTGGTTTTACGACACTCAAACCACTCTTTGGCGCCATCTCGAATCATGTCGCCACAAATAAACGCAAACCGGAAGTTTACGTTTACCACGACCTCTCCATGGAGGAGGAGAATATTTATGTCAAGTAACAGCTTTCAGATTCCTACCACCTTGAAGGAGAAAGTTCGTTCGAGATAAATTAAAAGGGTACAATGTCCTATCGGTATTTCTAACAAAACGTTACCTCACTAAGCTCCTTCTGTTTCTGACTTTTGTTTGCAAACTCTCCTTTCAGCTCGGATACGCGTTCACACTGCAGAGAAATCGAAGAAAAAGGTAAAGAAAGTCGCGAGTCCTTGTAAACTATACTACATGTCTAAATTAGCAGCTTACACGACTTGAATGACCAAATCTAATAAGTTGAACGAACGAATAACCAATTTGTCAGAGGTAAGCAAACGACTCTTTGGTCTAAATGTAACAAGCTTTTACTGATAACAATTAATAAATTTACCTTTAATTTTCTTTTAACATTTCAAAACATGCATGCACCCTCTGACCCCTAGGAGTAACTAACTTTAATTCCCCCATACAACATCACCCCTGAATTACGCATTAAGGTCACAAGAACAAGGGAAATAAGCTCTTGACTGTCAAACAAATTCTCCTTGTCAGCACCTCAGGAAATGTGCAGGGAACAGAATGGAGAATATGCATACTGATGTTCGGATGTAAAGGGTTACACCCTTACTCCCAAGCTCTAGAAATTAGTACTTCTTGCTGCCTGCCACACACTTCTTGGTAAGTTCAGATAATCTGTGTTAAATCAAGTATTTCCTCTCAGTTGATACCTTCCTATATTCTCATCATCTGAATGCCTGATACTGATTTGATATTGTAAAGAGGAAAAACTCATTTGAAAGGGTTGAAGGTGTGGCTAAGATGGCATGATTACAATATTTTAAAAGAAATTTCAGTTTCCTGTACTTTTGTCATGATCTTAACTAAATTTGAGTTTGATTCAGAGAAAAAAAAAAAATATATATATATATATATATATAGGTAGTTCTCCCCTTTGCACAAAGTTAACCTTTTTACTCCCAAGATCTCACTAGTAATTCTCCCTATTGTCTGCTATTCAATTCTTACTATGTTAGTTTAGAGAATTTTCTTTTGGATCTACTAATAATCCCTTAGCTAATTGATCTTTCTTTATTCTCATCACATGTCTGCTTGATACTGTACTGATATTGTAGGGAGAAATTAAGTCTTGGTCATTCATGGGAGTTTGAGGGTTAATGAATGGATATTATCCGCTAATGTTACCTTTTTCAATAGTTCATCTTTACTACCCTCCAAAGTTGATTGAAGGGACAAATTAAACCCTAAAGAAAGATCAAACACAGATAGTTGCAGGACAACATTCAAAGAAATAATTGCAACAGAGGAAATTGAGAGAAGCCTGACATTTTATAACAGAATTTGCATGAAAGTGTACAGGAAATATTTAACAAAGAAGTAAAACAAAGGTTAAGACAGTTCAAAAGGAACATACTCGCTATTTCTTCATTTTTCTTTATCACTTCTTCTTTATCAGCCTCTAGCTTTTTCATCTGAAATTTCAAATTATTAACTATGATTACATTAACGCCACTTTGTTTAAGTCATCCAGATGGGGAAAGAATACTCCCCTCCTGGGTGGGGTGTTTTTCTTTCCCCACACCCCCCACCACCCTTTAATCACCACCTTTAAAAATCTGAGACCACAGGTCAGCTCTTTTGGATCAAGTCCCTTACCCCACTCCCCTAAATTTGCCAATTTATCCATTCTTGTTTCATCCCAGTTTCCCTCTGACTGGAAGTCATGAATTTTCATGAAAATACCACCTTAATACAAATACTCATCCTAATGTTGAAGTGGAGAAACACAAAGACTAAAAACTGACTGTAAACTTACTGATTCTAGTTTGACTAAAAATGTGTCCATTACTTCAGGCTTATCAATAAGATCTTTGAGCTCCTCAAGACTGGGAATGAAAATGTAAATACAACCTTCAGTATCAAATACAGGAAGATGTTGTTCGTGTTTTGTCATTTTAAACCTTACCTTAAACCATCAAGCTCTGGGAATGAGTTTGGCACTTTTGCTGGTTGAGTTGGCCTGGGGGGTACTGGTGGCCTTGATGGAGTAGTCTGAGTGATCTGAAAAATATAACAGAAAATAATGGAAATAAAGACGATGAATACTCCTAGTGTATACCAGTATTTATACATGCATTCCTTCTCTTTAAACTATCATTTCACTGTCATGATAGCATATAATGGATATGTAGAAGTACACATTTTAGTTAACCCTTTTTGTCCTCATAAAAACAAAACAAAAAAAACATTTCTATACTGTTCTGTATAGACTTCCTGTCATGGTAGTACTGACAAGGAGAATTCTTTATTAACAGTTAAAAGCCCCTCTAACAAGCGATCACGTCGTTTATTCTCATAACCTCAATGTTTGATTTAAGGGTGGTACTGTAAGAAGAGATTAGATGCTGGTGAGGTTTAGGTGTTAATAGTTAATCTGTTGTGGACATAATGTAGATTAAGAAGGGGAAACCCATTTACTGCAACTTGATCATAATGCCCAGAGGCCTTGTAATGTTGAAATGTTGAAATTTCATTCGCCATCCATTCACAAAAAGAATTACAAATTTAAATTTATGTTTAACACTCAACCATGCTAGGAAGTACCTGTGAGTTACTGCCTAGGTGTGGCATAGCCCCTGCACTGGTAACAGAGAGAGCAGAGTACTGGCTTACAGGTGAATTCAGTGAAGACAAGGAGGGTGTACTGGAAGGAGCAGTAGATTGTGGAGTATACTGGAAACCAGGAAAACTGGGAAAGCTGTATTGAGTTAGTGGCTGATAACCACTTGAACTTGCAGGGAATCTATGAAACGACAAAATCATTTCACTTGTTATTGTCTTCATTAGTAAATATTCATAATATTCATATGTTCAAGTTATAAGCTAAAGTTGTTTCCGAAATTTTATATTTTTAATGGTAGAAGACCGCACAGCATCTTTCAAGAAGGTCAAATGTCCTGGAACCAAAACGAGAACAACTACCAGGTGCCCAGTCAGAAAAAAGGTGAATATCACATAGAATTAAAAAGAAACTAATAGCAATTATTAAGTTTTAACCTCTGTCATTGCCTTACTTGCCTTCTGATTGGCTCACTAAGTCTCAGTTATCAGCTCACATAACATACTCTGACCTTATATGGAAAATGATCTGTCATTTTGCTTTAAAATTCATTAAAATTTGGTTACCTGAATATCGTAAATATCCAAATGTTCAAAATTTAATAAAATTTAGTGAAACAATTATTTCATTCACACTTGTTGGATACTAGATTGATTATAGCCAACCTTGTTGGATATTTACCATCTCATAACATGTTACTACACCACTCAATGAAAAATGCCGGTACATTTAATAGTTACCAAAAACACTTCATGTTTTTAGTAGCTGAGTGATCTATATCCCAAATCAATACACTTTTGACACTATTGAAACCGAAATCACAGATAATGATATAAATCTGTGCTTGAAGATGATGTTACACAAAATATGTGAATCCAAAAACTGTCACACAGTTGGGGTTTCCTTGACCCTTAAACTCCCAGAAGTGATTAAAACATGTAATTTCTCCCTTCAACAACCATACTTTATCCACCAACAGGTAAGGAAAATATTTGCACTGATCACACAAATTACCTTTACCTAACACCAATTCTGGTAACTCATTTGTAAGGAAATGTATAACAGCTAGATGGGAGAATAAACAATCAGTTCTTTGGAGTGAAAGGGTAAATGCCACATGAAACAGGTAAATGTTTGCAGCTGCACTTACTGTGGCTGAGATGTGAGAGGACCACGAAACTGAGGGGGGTGGTCAGAGAATTCCTTTAAAACCTCTGTGATGACTCTCCCCAGGTTGGAGTGCATATAAAACTGAAAACAAAAGAAACAAAAACTTTTGATTTCCATCATTTAACCATTTAACTCCTATGAGTGACCAAGACAGAATTTCTCCTTCCACTGTCAATAAAACATCAAGCAGACAAGCGATGAGAATAAAGATTATTGGCTAAGCCGATAAGAATTGTCTGGCAAGCAGTAGAGAGAATTATTAACCCTTTAACTCCCAAGGGTGACCAAGACAGAATTTCTCCTTACAATATATATACAATATCAAGCAGACAAGTGATGAGAATAAAGAAAAATATCAATTGGGAATTATAAGTTGATCCAATTCCAAATTCTTCAAACTAGCATCTGAAGAACTGTATGACAGACTGTAAGGAGAATTACCAATTAGATCTTGGGAGTGCAAGGGTTAAAATATCTTAAATAAATACATTAGATAGCAAAGATGTAACAAGAAGAGATGAATTTGGATAGTAGAGGGTGTTATCTTGACATAACATCAAACTTTAATCCCTAGACAAGTAAATATACAGCAGATGGAAAATAGAATAACATGGCAGATCTTAAAAGTTAGAATCACTGGGTTAGCCTCTTTAAAACTCCATATCATTAACAGTCTGGCCTGGGTTGTTCAAAGCTGGATAAAGATAACTCAGGGTTAATGTGAATTTGATAGCAGTTCTGAAGGCTTTCAAAAAAAATTCAGTTTAAATATTTTTGCTTGCAACTTGATCATTGAATGGTCCAGAAAGAAATGGGAAAACTCTACCCTAAAAGACTTTTGAATAAAGAAATAAAGAAACCTGGATATAAATTTAACCCTAGGTTAGTGCTGATTGGCCTTTGAACAACTGGGCATTGCTTCATAGCTGGTGAACTGCAGTGGACTCCCATTTCTCTACCAGTGTTTATTAGATAATTATTTTGCCAAATATGTTTGTGAAATAGTTGGCAACCTTTTACAACAGGAGACTATAAAAATAACTAGTCTCAAGCTATTAACAGAAATCCTGATTTTTTGAAAAGCCACCCATGTCTTAAAATGATTGGTTTTGTTTAGCATTGCCCCTTTAACTTCCATGAGTAACCAAGACAGAGTTTCCCCTTGCAATATCAATATGATATCAACCAGATAAGTGATGAGAATAGAGAAAAATATCAATTTGGGGATAATAAGCTGATTCAATACTAAATTCTCTGAACTAACATTATAAGAATTGTATGGTTGACAGTAAGGAGAGTTACAAATTTGATCTGGGAGTAAAAGGGTTAAAGTGCATTTTAAAGAAAGACTGTGATGTTTACAGGCTGCCCTACCTTCATAAACAAAAACTTAATAAAAAAATGTAACCAAAAAATAAGAAACACTCTTACACTATTTATTCCAGGACATCCCACCACCATCATCTAAGAGAAAAAGAGAGAGAGAAAAGTTAACTTTTACAATATGATTAAACCCTTTCACTCCTAATAGTGACTAGCATCTATTTTCTCCTAACAATATCACCCTTGAATCGAACACAAAGGTCAGTAGAATAAAGGAAATAGTCACCAATGAAGGAAGTTCTTGATTGTTAAACAAATTCTCCTTGTCAGTACCTTAAGAGATGTACAGCAAACAGTATGGAGAATATGCATACTAATGTAAAGGGGGGTTAATGATTATTTTATCACAATCTTTTAAGTCTCACTAGTGAGTTTCAAAGTCGCATTTTGCTTGTATTTAAGTCCCTGACATTGACATGAATTGCAGGACCCAAACTTGAAATTTTTACCCTAGATCTTTTATGATACATAGCACCCTTGAAGTTGTTCCTCACCTGATCATTAACCCATGGATGATGCAAAGGTGGAGATACTTTAACAACTGGCCTTTCATTAGGAAACTGAGGGGGTAGGGTTCTAGAGGAAAAAACAGTTCAACAAATTCATTCTACAACAATAAGACAACATGCAGATCAGCTCAAAAGTTCACACTCCCTAAAGATCCAATGCACAGTTTACCAACCTACAAACAAAGTTTAATTTTTTTTTGAGGTAACACCTCTTCAAGCTTTATCAGTTCAACAGCTAAATGTTCCAGGGTAAAGTAAGCAGTGGCTTAAAAATTTATGTGGATACCTTTTAAAGCAGTAGACTGCACTTTTTAATGTTTTAAAAGCATAAAAATCCATGTGGGATGTTTGGAGAAAGATTGAAAAGTTTTAAATCACCCACCTCTGGCTCATGATTTACAGACTTTTTTGTGTTCTCCCAGCATCCCATGTGGATTGTTGCACCAGTAAACCAATAGAAAATGCAATCTATTACTACTATAAAATAATAATTGGTTTAACAGAGCTATAAATTATAGGTTTTTGTCACTCAGGGGGCTTGTGGCATCTCAGTTATGTTACAAAGGCATATATACTTCACATAGGTATATATACTTGGTTAAAAAAATGGTTTTTAGAACTGTAGGTACTCTACTTCAACATTCTGAGAGCATTTTAATTCCTATTGAAATAAGTTGGTGTCATACATGTTCAGAAAAACAGTTGAGGTTCCCACATTGAAGGTAACTCTGTATTCCACATCTCTCTGAACTTCTGTGATACTGCAAATATAATGAAACAATTGGTCATGACAAAAAAAAATTCATCAGCCACCAAAATTAAAAGATAACTACTGTCCTACTACTACATAGATTTTAAACATACATTTCATCTTTCCAGGAAACCCTTACAGTGTTTAGAAGTTTGCCAGTGTCTTTATTTACTAATCAGCTGTTACATTGAAAGAGAAGGTAAGCACACTTATTATCTGATTATCCTTTAACTACTAAGGGGCTTGTTGTTTTAGCTTGGCTTGCCTATGTAACTAGGCTTCTCTGTTTGCTGACACAAATTTAATCATAGTTATAATAGAAGATAAATCTTCCAGTGTACAGGAATGTAAAGAACGGCATAATTTACTATACATGAAAGAATTGTGTGGAGATCTTATAAGTGTACGTGTAGCAAAAAGTATTACTGTGACGTCTACGTCACTACGAACTTGGGATTTAACGCGGATATTAATCTCGTTAAAATGAATATAGACATTGATAGTGGCGAAGTACAGACTGTGTACAGGCAGGTTTCATATTAGTCGTTTCATAGATTGAGCAATTTGTTCAGCATACAAGTCATAAGACTTCGACAGAACCAATGATTATGCACCATGCTAGCACATTTTCAACTGAGAAATTATTTTAGCATATTACCGCTTAGGTATCAGAACACGATTTTTTTATCGTAAATTAAAGAATTATGAAAAAGATATGCCTGCTGTGGTGTTTAGCGAGCTTGTCACTTTTAGCTTTTGAAAAGAACTTTGGAGGGCTTTCTTTGGGTTCATAAAAGAAATGCTTAAATTATACGGGAGATTCTTTGAAACCAAGGCGGCTCAGCTTAGGTTCGTTGTATAAATCAAAGCCGCAGAAATGGGAACCGGAAATAAAAAAAAGATAAGTGAAAAGTGGACTTGAAACTCACTTGTGAAGCGTACGCAACGATTCGATCTGTTTTAGTCTCTGTTGCTGTAAAGCTGTCGTAGGTGGTAGTTGAGACTTCGGAGGTTTCGATGATCCAAATAACCAGCTCATATTTTGGCGACTGCGATCGTTTATGGGAGAAATTTTAGACAAATAACACAACACCATGACCAAGTTCGGCCGCCATAGTTAACTAAATAAAAGCATGACGTAATGGGCACAGCCGCTGACTTTTGCGGTCTTGCAACATCCCAGAGTTCCATCGTCTCTTCTAAGAATGTTTCCCTTTTATTTTAAATTTTTTATTTTATTTTATTTTTTAAATCTGTAACAGCATGATAAAAAGAAGAAAACTATTCCTTTCTCAAAGAAAAAATATTTCTTCTGGTGGAATGGCGCAGCAATTGATGTCTGTCTCCTGATGGCATCGGTTGATAAAAATTGGGATTTTTATCATTAGTATTAGCATACACGACACTTTGCAAGTAATTTTCATTGTAATCCTTTGTAAATGAAACGTTGATAACTTTGTGTCGAATGAGAGCTAATAAAAAAAAATGAAAAGTTACATTTGACGCTTACGGGCCGGAAAGTCGAAATTGACCGCCAAAAAATGTTATTTATTTTCAACTTACGATCGAGTCCTTTTATTTTTATTAACTTTTCCTTCAGTTTTTGAAAACAGAAATCTACCTGCTTTTAGAAATTAATATGTTTCCACGCCGACCCCCTGTCGGTAATTTTTATCGATTTGAATTTCGCAGTTTTGTATTTTAATGGCCAAGGAAACGCGAACTGAAATCTGACCCGTGTTTAACTTGAAACCGTACCTGAAATCGATACACTGAGAAAAAATTGATAAAATATTTTGTTTATTTTCTTGTTTGTTGCCTAACGATCCACTTCACCGTCTGTCTATCGCGATAAAATTCGTCTTAACGGCGACCATTATTCCAGAAACATCCTTTTGTAATGAAAGTTTTCATTTTACTTTAAACATTTGCATTAATAAATAATATGGATATATTCAGGCCAGCCACTTGCTCATCAAACCATTATTTCCTCATAATGACTTATTTGGCTTCGGCACTTTCTAAGCTTGGTTTCACGTCGGCCCGTAATGAATCAGAAATCTCGGCATTGTTTCCGTGTTCAATGAAATTGAGTAATTGTAATAGTTCTCGAAGAACTTAAACTTGTGTTTCACGCTATTATGTCCTTTGTAATTAAGTGCAAACGCTATAGGCGATTGTGGCAGAAGTACAGTTTTCACCATGCGATCTATTCAAAAATTACACCGGTATTCTTAGACGATTAAAAACACGTTCTGCTTTAAACGGTCAACATCACCATTTATTCTCTCGTTTTACGTTATTTACTTGTTATTATCATTTTTTTTCAATTTCGTGCGTTTTTTTTATCTCTGCTCAGAAAACTATTATAATTATTTCCACGCATTCTTCTTTTGAAAAAGCGAAAACCGCTTTGATAAACTTCAATTTTCCTCATTCTAGATAATGACCGTGGAAAGATGACAGACCTTTTCGACTCTAAAACTTCAGTGCAACACTACGAACTTGCCAAGGCATTGAAAGGCAATCAAAGTTATTTGACGTTGTTTGGCATAACTACTTTTCATTTTCCATTGAATACAGCGGGAGATAAAATTGAATACAAATAACACAGGTCACCGAATATAATGCTGTAATTTTAGGACGAAAAGGTCTGGCAACCCCGTAGGCTAAGGTGTTGATGATCCTGGGTCACACAATTAGGAGCAAAAGGGGAAATTCTCCTAACAAACGTCGGCGAAAAACAAATTTGGATTTTCCGTTTCCTTGCCTAGAGGACATTGCGCTTGTCGGTTTGATAATCTTAAGAGCATCGATAAAACTTGAGTGTTTTAACCTAAGAAGTGTGATAGATATGCAAACATCGATCATCGATTATAAATATCGCTTTCTCTGACTCACACCTCGAAGCGCGGAATTAAAGATTATGTTTTCTTAAATTGAAGTGCCGAAAAGGACACATTGACAGCTAATGACTAAACTATTACTGCATATAAAAGTAAGTTGTTTGACGAAAAACGCTGCGCTCTCCTCAGCTGACACGTTCTTGACAGCTAACGTTTATAAGCGCTTTTTTCCCGCCTAAAACTGAAGGAAAATTTTGCGCGCCAAACCATTAAGCGAAAAAAAAAAACGAAAACTCGTCGAAACCAAACGCTATCGTAAATCGGCAAACAGATCATCTCGAACACATTTTACAAACAATCCCAGTGTTTTATAAAACAAAGACAATGGTCATAATTGAAAGCTTTGATTTTTGTCACTTGCATAGCCTCTTAAAGCCCAATAAATGTCGCACGCAGTTTACAAAGGCCCGTCGCTGACTCGACATCTGCCGCGTCGCGCAAATGTAGCTCGGCGTGATTCGAACGCGTGGTCTTCTTGCTCGCAATTTTTAGCAAATCAACGTGAACCATGCTAGGATATTTCTTTTTTCAATGCCCTAAAAACGATTCGAAAGGTGGTGATTATGAGCTATTCAATCCCTTTTCTGTTCATGTTTGTTTAAGATGCCCTCTAAGCGGTGCCCCCTTTGAGACGATTGTTTTCGCACCGCGTTTTTTAAGCATTTACAAACAAGTAATACGTAGCGAAGTCATCTCATCACTGCCTCGCTTTTTCCGAAAGCCGTGCCTTTCATTCCTGCCTTTCCCTTATTTACCGATCGAGCCATTGTGCCGCTATTCAGTTATTGTATTTTTGTGGATGTAATCTTTTGTTATGGAGATATTAGTATTAGAGCAATTGTAATTCATTCACCTTTGTTATTCATTTTATCTCTTCTTGATCGTCCATTTATTTATTTATGTCATCTCTTTCATTCAACACCTCATGTATTTTTTATTATGTTGTTATTCTCGGCCCTTGTCTCTCAGTTTCTTTTATATAATTATCAATATGCGAAAGTAAGATTTACAATAACGACGCACAGCGCTTCTCGGTGAGCTTTGGTACAGCTGTGTTTTTCACTCGGACGACGGGAGACCAACCTAAATCGATAGAAGGGGGAGTTTTTTTTGTGATGCTTTCTAAGCAGCAAGAAGATTACAGATGCTTCCGTTCAAAGATGCATTTGAAGGAAATAATTTTCTTTGCGGGACGCCATCTGTTTAGGGTTTCTGTAATTATTATACAAATCCATCTCTTTTTTTGTGTTCAAATGAAACGTCGAAGATATAAGCGACACCAAAGACAAACTTTCTCCGGTGAAATTTCATCCATCTAACCTCAAGTTTCAAAGCTTGCACTCGTGCCAGCCTTGAACTGTTTCTTCGGACAGAGTACCAAAACTATTTGCTGTTTTAAACCACGAATACGTAGTTTACACCTTGGCACAATAGATGTAAACGAAGACAGTTGTCTTTGTATGTTTGATGGGGAAGATTTCTGACTGACAGGGGAGCGTTTCCTATGCTAACGGAATTTTTTCAAACTTTAACATCAAAGCTAGTGTCAAATAAACCCAACTGAGACAACAAAAGTTGACAACAAATTACATTCAATGCTAATTTTAATGTGACAGTTCGGTGAAAACTTGGGGTTAGTTTTGTCAAATTTAAATTACGAGTGAAAGTTGCTCTGGTAAATAACGGACAAGTAGGGCTTGCGGAGTCACTCTGCTTGGCAAACCAAAGCGGAAATTTAATAGTACCTCCTAAAAGAGCTACTAACCCATGAAATGAGGTCGAATGAGAATTCTTTCAATATTTAAATATTCACACACATAGCCTTATAATATACAAATTCTGACGTGTTGCGATCTGGCAACGGTTTCCGTGGTCAGAAATTTGGTCGTCAAACTCGTCAACATCTCTACGTAGTGAAATGTATTCGTCTGGAATGAATTTGTCCATGAAAAAAAAAATCATATGAAATCGCACGGAATAATATAATAAAATTCTTGCTTGCTCGATAAGAATAATTTACACCAGTTAGTTGCTGTATTATACATAAATAGTCAATCGTGATAAATGGATTTAAGAGTCAGTCACTTCAACTAAAGGAGTAGATATGCGACAGGTCTCCTTACATCTTGTCCCTGCCACGACGAACAGTTGCAAGGAACCGTATACTGTCCATTGCTTCCCTGAACAGCGTGGAGATGCGAGTGAGGACTTAATTGGCCTCCAGGTAAAACAGGCATACCAGAAGCGTTCAGCAGAGCCGAACTTGTCGGTGGAGCGCTTGGATAGAGCGCAGAGTGAGGGTACATTTGCCCTCCCGTGAGCATATCAGGGCGTACAGCGCTTGGAATCTCTAGTCCGCGGTCGAACCTTGATGAGGTAATGGAGTGCCCGGCACTCGAGTCAAAAGTGTATCCTGATGAAACTGGGATAAATGATCGTGATTTGCCGTTCACCGCTGACGAGAACGGGTCCGTTACGAACGATGATGTCGATATACCGGGAGGACTACACTTGAGTAGTTCGTCAGAGGTTGGTAAACACGGTAGTGGAAATGGATAGCGGTCTACCTTTTTCAACAGCGATTTGGGTTTTCTTCGAGGCCTATACTTGTAGTCAGGATGTTCTTTCATGTGCTGCGCCCGTAGATGCTTGGCCTCCTCGACAAACGGCTTTTTCTGATCATCTGTTAACTGCTTCCATTCAGCTCCGAGCCTTTTGCTGATCTCGGAGTTGTGCATCTTGGGGTTGTCCTGGGCGATTTTTCTCCTCTCTTCTCGGGACCAAACCATAAACGCATTCATGGGGCGCTTGACATGTTCAGCTGGCTTGGCCATGTCTGTGTGTGGATATCCTCTACTATTATTCCGCACGATTCACTAAATTTTAGCTCCTAGAGACTTCTAGGTTGTCAAGAGTAAATATCGGTCCGTGCTGGTCGCTGGCTCGTTGAAAGTGAACTACTCGCTGATTGCTTCACGCGGTAAAGATCAAAGCTCGCACCTTAGAGCATGCGTGTGAAATAATTGAGTTTCATTCTCGCTTTCACAAAGTATTCAGACCACGTCACTTTACGAAAAGGCTATCCAATTAAAATAGAGGAAGTTGAATCCGAAAATTCCCCTCGAGTGGTGCCTTTGAAATGTTTTGCGATATTACCTTGATTGGTGTTTCAAAAAGATATTTGGATTTTGTAAATAATTTTCT